CTGAAGACGGAGATAGAGTCCCATCTCCGAAACGTCGTTTTTACGTTTTATATTTACTAGACGATGAATAATATCCAAGAAAATTTTTATTCAAATGACTCTTCAGAACCTGAAGACGGAGATAGAGTCCCATCTCCGAAACGTCGTTTTTACGTTTTATATTTACTAGACGATGAATAATATCCAAGACAATTTTTATTCAAATGACTCTTCAGAACCTGAAGACGGAGATAGAGTCCCATCTCCGAAACGTCGTTTTATATTTTATATTTACTAGACGATGGATAATATCCAAGAAATTTTTTTATTCAATTGACTCTTCACCATCGTCAAGAAGTTTTAGATTTGATTTGCAATTTTGCGTTGCGTAATTCCACAGAGGCAACGCCTCACTCCCGGGAAACAGAAGACTGTTCTAGTGGTAAACGATGTTTGTATACATGTAGCGTTTCTAACAGAAGCAAAACGGTGTTCAAAACCTTCCATCACTGGAAGCAGTCGCCACGAGAGTGAACCGAAGCACTGCATTCTCGTTCTAAGGAAATATAAAGGCAAACTTGCATCACGAGAAGACGATTAAATTATTTATTTGCTTGTTTGTTCAACGACGCCGTTAATAGCTCAGAAGAGATTGTGACTCAGGAGGGGATTATTAATTGATAATAAAGTGGAAAGGATGCGGGAGGAGACGTTTGTGGCCAAATTTAAGAAAATGTCCCAGCACTTACGCGGACAGACTAAGGAAGACCACGATAATATCTGGCCAGTATAACCGGTCACCGTACCGAGACTTGAATGTGGGACCTTCCGAACACGAACCAGGAGAGTTGAGGACGAAGGAAACCAAATTATCTGATGAGCAATATTTTTTTTTATAATGGTGTGGCTATGGATGCTGTTAATCTCTGATGATGGAGGTAGTGTGTTCCAAGACGGTGGCAAACAACCAGATTCCTACACGGCGTAGTAACCCAGAAGATCATCTGTAGCTAACTTGGGCTTATTCTATAAGAATTTGGTTGACTCGTCTAAAAAGTGATGGGAGATTTTTATATTTCAGTGATTACATATAGGCCTAAGCGTACTTCGTCTCAGATACGAACACATAACTTAATCTCACAGAGAAACAACTCTTTGTAACGCTACACGCTTGTATCTTTCGACTGTTGTTATCTGTAACATGTAGCTGACTAAATTTCTTTGGACATGTGAAATGCCTGCAATTGAGAATGAAAATAGCTACGAGATTGAAAGTTAAGGAAGAACTTCGCTAATTCAAGTCCTCATAAAGTTATGAAAATTTTGGATAACAAGGAAAGTTTTAAAAGGACAGGCGACAGAGATTCTTCCATCGAATCGTTGCGTTGTTAAAAATATTCAACACATTTTCTCGGATGAACTTCGCTATCAGATTATCACACGGATCCTAATTAACAGGGGATTGCGCCTAACTCACTATGTAGTTCGCAAGCGCTGATGTACAACCCGCAACCCGCGGACCGTCGTCACACAGCCCACACGACCTGTCTTCCCAACTTCGCCCAGTTCTCCCGAATAATCCACGAAACAAAGTCCTTTTTTTCAGAAGCTGACAGCCACTCGACTCGCCACAAACTTCCTCAGTCCTCACAACATCCCGTCACTGACACGTCTTAAACCAGACAAATCCAGTCCAGGTCTCATACACCCCATTTCTTTAAGGTCAATTTTAATATTAAACTCCCCTTCTGGATTTCAACTAAACTTTTTCTGCAGTCCTGTCTCCTAATATTATTTGGTGACCACCACAAATTAAATATTTCTTCTCTATGCAATTTAATATAACTTTACGTGCTATCTCACTGGTCAGAACATCTCAGCGTTCTTGTTCTCGAGAGTCCTTGACCTCTGTTCGTCACGTATCTTTGTGGTGAATGAGCTGACCACAGATCAGAATGTTATCTTAACATACCCCGTGGTAATCAGGGTCAACAGATTATAACACACATTATCTGATAACGTGGACCAATTAATAACATACGACAAACTTCTACAGCGAATGGATATACCCTAACATCATCATCGTC